CACCAGGACCTGCTGGAGGCCACCTGGACCCCACCCTCACCTGGAGCTCTTCCATGGATCCACCAGTGAACCCTGATCTCCATTCCAGGATGAGGATGGAATGGTGCTTCCTGTCCAAGTGCTACAATCCTGGACGTTCAGCTCTTTCCCGGACCACCAGAACCTGCTGGAGGCCACCTGGACCCCACCCTCACCTGGAGCTGTTCCACGGATCCTCTAAGGGCAGGAGATGCCCCTTGGAGCAGCTGCCCTTCCCCGGCAGCCCAAGCCCTCCCGCTCCGCCCGCAATCCAAGACCTCCGCGTCCCGTTGTACCTCCTGAAGCTCCTCTCCGAGGACTGCTGGTTGGATTTCCCGGGAGGGACCTCGGAGCCGTGCCGGTGGCCGGGCAGGAGGCTGTGGGTCTCCAAGGAACACCTCCCGCCGCCCTCCGAGGGCACGCCGGGCGTCTCCAGGAATTCCTTGTCATTCCAGGTGCCCGCCGCCCCATCCAGAGCCTGGTAGCGGATCTCTATGGAGATGCTGGTCTGCAAGACAGGGAGATGCCGTCAGCGCCTCCGGAATATCCCGGGAAATCCAAACAGCGGGAAGAGCGTCGGCCGTTGGGTGTTCCCGCCTCGCTCATCCCAAAGTTCCTCCGTTCCCGGATGAGGATTCTTTGCTCCTTTTCTTCTGCCAAGGTCGGGATTAAATGGGGGATGGAATTTCGTGCTGGAACTCAGATTTTATCAGTTTTTATCTATCTCTGACGTTTATCAGTTTTTATCTATTTCAAATGTTTATCAGTTTTTATCGATCTGTGACGTTTATCAATTTTTACATATCTCTGACGTTTATCAGTTTTTACCTATCTCAGATGTTTGTCAGTTTTTATCTCTGACATTTATCAGTTTTTATCTCAGACGTTTATCAGTTTTTTACCTCTGACGTTTATCAGTTTATATCTCTGACACTTATCAGTTTTTATCTCTGACGTTTATCCGTTTTTATCTCAGATGTTTATCAGTTTTTATCTGTCTCAACGTTTATCAGTTTTTATCTCTCTGACATTTTTCAATTTTTATCTCAGACGTTTATCAGTTTTTATCTCAGATCTTTGTCAGTTTTTACCTCTGACGTTTATCAATTTTTAACTTTGACGTTTATCAGTTTTTATCTCAGATATTTATCCGTTTTTATATGTCTCTGATGTTTATCAGTTTTTATCTCAGACGTTTATCAGTTATCACCTCTGATGTTTATCAGTTTTTATCTCTGACGTTTATCAATTATCACCTCTGACATTTGTCAGTTTTTATCTCAGACGTTTATCAGTTTTTACCTCTGACATTTATCAGTTTTTATATATCTCAGATATTTACCAGTTTTATCTCAGACGTTTATCAGTTTTATCTCAGATATTTATCCGTTTTATCTCAGACTTTTATCAGTTTCTCTCCCTGACATTTATCAATTTCTCTCCCTGCCGTTTATCAGTTTTTATCTCAGACATTTATCATTTTTTATCTCTGATGTTTATCAGTTTCTCTCCCTGCCGTTTATCAGTTTTATCTCAGACATTTATCATTTTTTATCTCTGATGTTTATCTGTTTTATCTCAGATGTTTATCAGTTTTATCTCAGACTTTTATCAGTTTCTGTCCCTGCCGTTTATAAATGTTTATCTCAGACTTTTCTCAGTTTCTCTCCTGCCGTTTATAAATGTTTATCTCAGAAGTTTCTCAGTTTCTCTCCTGCCGTTTATAAATGTTTATCTCAGAAGTTTCTCAGTTTCTCTCCTGCCGTTTATAAATGTTTATCTCAAACTTTTCTCAGTTTCTCTCCTGCCGTTTATAAATGTTTATCTCAAACTTTTCTCAGTTTCTCTCCTGCCGTTTATAAATGTTTATCTCAGACTTTTCTCAGTTTCTCTCCTGCCATTTATAAATGTTTATCTCAGAAGTTTCTCAGTTTCTCTCCTGCCGTTTATAAATGTTTATCTCTGGTGTTTCTCAGTTTCTCTCCTGCTGTTTATAAATGTTTATCTCTGGTGTTTCTCTCGTCCGTCCCAGCTCACAACCCCCGAGTTCTGCAGCCCTTCACTCCAACACACAAACCCCGAGCCCGTCTCCCTCCCCAGGGCCCTGTAAGGATAAAATGTCCAGGCAGGGAACGAACCTGAATTCCTTCGGTTTTAACCCAAAACCAATCGCGGGAACGAACCTGAATTCCTTCGGTTTTAACCCAAAACCGATCGCGGGAACGACACCTGAATTCTTTCATTTTAACCCAAAACCAATCACGGGAACGACACCTGAATTCCTTCGGTTTTCACCCAAAACCGATCGCGGGAACGAACCTGAATTCCTTCGGTTTTAACCCAAAACCAATCGCGGGAACGACACCTGAATTCTTTCATTTTAACCCAAAACCAATCGCGGGAACGA